CCAGCAACAGAAACAGAGCTTAATGGTTCCAATATTAACCCATTCTGCAGCAAGAGAAACAAAGCCCTGACTGCAATAAGAACGAAATGAAATATCTTGTATGGAGACTCCAGGATTCTGTTAAACTAATCATTGAAAAAAGAAATAATTCTTAAAAAATTAAATACGAAAAATATTGGGTGACTTTAAAGGAAGTTTTAAAATGTTTTACTACCCCTGACAGCTCATTTTGACAGAAACTGATTGTAATAAAGAATTATGAATCAGATAGTAGGTAAATTAAATTAAGCTGATTATTATCTTGTCAGATACACATATTAGTTGGTATGTAATATTTATTGCTTCAGACTTCCACAAAAAGATTTTCACTCGGAGTTAACAACTTTAGAATATCCTAAGCAATCCGCACAAGTTGTCGCAACAGCAAACCATCCTTTAGATTAGAAATATGTGATACTTAAGTACTTTTATTCTCCCAAATCACCCTTGTCTAGATAAGAGCTTGAAAGCAGCCTGTCCGCTGTGAGATGGTCTGGTTCTGGCTGCTTCTCACAGCAGCCAGCACTGTCAGAAGACGTTGGAAAGCTTTCCAAAGAACTGGAAAGAGCTGGGATCCCATGGCCCATTGATTTTCTATCTTGAACTGTGTATCACAGCTGATTCAGCATGACTTTATTAAGAAAGAGTAGTAAAGGTCAAGCAAGAGCCTGTAAGACTCACTTACTGCATCTTCTCCCAAGTTAAAAAGGCTCAATTGGCACTTGAAATTAGTTACAGATTGTTCACATCGGTCTTTTCCTTTATTTGAATGGTAATGAAGAGAGCTGCTTCCGATACAAGTAAGGCCACTGACCCTTCTTGGGATTTCATTGAAAAAATATTGTTTGATGAAAAAGAAAGTACTGAGCAGTATGCTGCTGTTAGTCCAAACCAGGCCTTTGCAACAGATGAATGCTAACGCTAAAGCCAAAAAATGCAATGCACTATACAGACAGAGAGAATCCTGAAGCCAAAGTAAATACTTCATCAAAACAAATCTCAGCGTGGGCAATATTTCTAATAAGAAAATGAAATTTTCTACTAAAATACATTTCCCACCAGTACACAGTGTGTGTTTCCTTCTGTATAAAATCGAATAATTATCACAGGACAAAAAATAAGAACACCACAACAGCTAAAGAAACCCCAAAGGACTTAACTAAAAATTAAACAATTTAAAACAAGCCTTAAGCACAAAGTTACTATCATACTCATAACAGCAGATCTCAAAGTCCCAAATTAATGCCTAAAGACCACAGAAAACTGTTTTGAAGTGCATTTAGCAAAGATGGCCAGGTGTTGACATAAATTAGCCGATGACCCTGTGCAACGTGTTTCCAGGTTGTATTTTGTGCAACAGAGCAGCTTTTAGGCAAGGATCGAAGTCCCGATACAGGCACGTCCTTCCGAGACTTGACACGGCCCAGAACCGAAGGTTCCACAGGAGACAGAGTTCCTTAAACCAGCTAGTGAGGACTCTGTGAAAGTCCTCTTTCAGAATTCCAAAAAAGAAGACTTTATGTAGGACCTATGCAAAAACAAAGCTTGAGGCTCCCTCTGCTGGTTCCCAAACAACAATGGAAGGGGAAAATAAAAATGGAAGGGTTTTAGCTCTGGGAGGACAAACTCAAAACCACACCGTCTCCTGCCAGTTTTCCACATGACCCCTTGTTATATATGGCAAGAACAGAAAACCCTCTTAGATGTTTAAGCATGAGGGATACACTCCACACCAGACTAAACATTAAAAAAAAAAAAGCAAAACAAACCTAAAATTTTAAATAGATTGTATTTTATGTTGTTATACTTAATTACTCCCCTAAACTGTTCTCCCAAATCCTTCTGAATAGTACCCACTTTACTTTCTTCTTGTCTCCATAAAGATTTTATTTTCTGATTGTCTTCTCACAGGAAAATACTGATGACATCATGACTTCTGCTTGTTTATCCATGTACTAAGCCCCACCAGCAAGCAGCCATATAACCTAGGAACACATCCGAAATAAGTTGTCTGTACAATTTTATTTACCACTTGCAGTTACATTTACAAATTGTCCCATACAAGTAAAGCAGTTTTCAAAATGAACTCTACTAGAGCTCCAAAAATTATTCTCTATACATGTCACCAGCTTCAGAATTTATTTCTGTACAAAACTGCTGATTATATTTAACAAAATTTCACTATATTTTGGCTCTGAGGATCTCCACAAAGGCAACTTGATCATTTTATCCCGTTGCAATCAAGAACGGTAAAGTTCTTGTTCTTCCTTTCCTTCCCTCTCCTTTCATCTGAAGCTCTTCATGGCTTTCAGTTTTGCAATTCAAATGAATGAAGACTAACACTACCAAACACTAGCAGTTTTAGTAACCAAGGAAAAAAAATGTTGAGCAAAACCATCTTGCAACATTTCAAGCAATGTTTCACTTTAGATGTGCCTGCTCATAAGCATAAATATTGAAATATTATCTGGTAATAAGGTTACATAAAAGCACATACAATTTATTTAACATGAAATTAACTTCTACAAACACATACAGTCAACTTACAAGAAACACTAGCAACATAGGAGTGAGGAGCCAGAGTTGTTCAGAAAAGAGCAAAAGTTTTGAGGAAGACCTGAATGGAGGAAGGACGTGAAACTCAAATATTGCTCTAAGAGTAACTTTCAGTTGTAAGCGTTTCCAAAAGACTTGAGAAAAACACATACATTCAAAATGTAAGTGTTAAAATTTTCTGAATGCCAGCTCTCATACACAAGTGCTTCTAAAGAGAAAAAGAAATCATTTTCCCCAGGAGAGGGCAGGAGATGTATACACAGAACTAACCGATACAAAATCCTGGCCCTGCTGAAATACGCAGCAATTCTGAGAGTGAAGTCAGCAGGGCAAAACCTCATTGTTTCAAACACGTATTTCTTCCGCAAGTCAGATAAACCTGCCTACCTCTTTGCACCATAGTCCCACAGCGGAAGTCAATCAAGCCTTTATGTTTACTTGTTAATCCCTTTAAAAGAATGGTACTGGAAATCTATTCCGGTACTTGAGTGAGCAAGTCTGGGATAAGATCAGAAGAACTATGAAACAGGCTGTGTATAGCCAGTAAGATAAGCTTATTCAAAATTTACCTTGCAGCAATCTAATCAGTCTCATCTCTCTCTATTTTTAAATTCCTCCAAAGCCCCAAGGCTCACAGCAAGGCAACATACTCAGAAAATCAAATACATGGGATCTCAGAATCCCTGTCTACCCCCTCAAATAGTTTAAGAATGACCAGGAACAGTCTAAAAGCAGCATAATCTTTAACAGTAAAATAAGCCAGACAAGCTAGCTGAAGTTGTCTAATATCAAACACTGAAAACCTCAGTGCTTTGTGGTACAGGTCCATCAACAAGCAACCACAAAGTAAACTCAGATGCGGATCTATTACACAACAGAAAGTTTTCAATCCTATCGTGATATGAAGTAACTTAGGATCAAAAAAATGGAATTAAGTTCAGCAAGGCAAAGGCACACATACAAGCAGTTACCAGTTGTGGGTAACCTGGTTGCATAGATATACCATTATACAATTTGTTATATTGTTCAGAAGGAGCTAGGGAAAAAAACCCAAAACCATGTAGTATACAGCCCCTTTCCCAAGATGTTTTATTAATAATTTGAAAGGATTGTACCAAGACCACAGCTGTGAGTACATGTTTTTTAAACATCTTCCCATTTCTCCTATTTACAGGAGGAACATTCAAGGTGTTTAAAAGAAAGCTGCATTGAAAACAAAAGTAAACAAGAGAAAAGACCACATTTTAAACATACTGGTTTAGTTTAGCCTGCCAGTATGAGAGAGACAACTCCACAACAATTTAGGTTGTTTTGTGTATCTTATTTTCCTTATCTTATTTTTACAGTAGCCTTGAATACTTCAGTATGTAATATCCTGCTAAACCTTCAAAGTGATTTGAGTAACACATTCAAAATAGAGTTTGAAACTGCTCTGAAATGTTTCACCATTTTTACACATTTTCACTGAAAAAATCCTGCTTGACTAAAAAAGTTGGGGTTTTTTAATTATATCCAACATTGGAAAACCCATGTGATCCTGAACACCAGCAAATTAAGAACTAATGTCTAGTGCTTCACACCTTCCCTCACCCCTACAAAGACAGAACAAAAAAATGAGGCCAAAAAGTCCAAAAGAGAATTTTAACATCACTGTTTATCACAACACATCACAAGTAGTCTCAGCTACAGATTTCTATAACCATTTCTTTACTTTACAACTGCAGCAAGAGTTTGAAGCTACTGAAAGCAGCCAGTAAATTCTCTTACTGTGCAGAAATATAAAGGGATCACTAAAACAAACTAGCTTCTCCATACAACTGCAATATTACAAATCATGTTATTTTACCTGCAGAGAGCAACATTATACCTTAAAAAATAAAGCAGCTGTTCTTAATCCAACATAACTCCCTTTGACCGAGCTGGCCTACACTACTCATCCACTTCTCACCCACTGTGAGGTGCAGAGGAGGAAAAGCTGATCTAAGGGAGTGTCCAGAGAAGACAGGGCTGGGACCTTGACTCATGAAAGGAGGACTGTGAAGACCTGAACCCGAGGAAGAGCACTTCTGTGTCTTTCATATACGGAAGAACACTGAAGTGTGGAATATAATCACGAGACTTGTCCTTACATATAAAAAAGTGACTAGATTAAAAGCAAAGAGAGTAAGAAGGCATGGAGAAAAGCAGGCTTCAGTTACTTCATGTAAGGCTTCTCAGCTTGAATCTATAAAAATGGATAGCGTGAATCCCCTATTAACAGGAACTAGATATTATGTTGGTAGAATAGAGCTGTGAGTGGCATAACTGGCTGCACACCAGGATACTGAGAAGAAAGGAAAATGGAGAAGCTACAGCACTTGACATTAAACAACGAGCAAGCTGCAACATTCAACAGAACTGACAAAAAGTTGAAAAATATTTTTTTATTCCTCCTGTACTAAAGTGATGACACCGTACAAGTTCCCAATTATATGAAAACAGCTTTTGGTAACTCATTTTTGAACTAAACCCCTAATTTCAGCACAATTACCCTAGCTTTAAAAGACTAAAAAACTCAGACTGAAGTCCACTACTTTGTTTCAACAAGCATATTTTCCATGAAGTCCACACTGCCCAATTTTGCGTGTTCCAGGAGTTTGGCTGTGTAAGAAAGTTACCTGCAACAATCATCTGAACTGACTACATCAGTTCTCCAACCATAAACAGTTCGCATAATTTAAAAAAAATCACTTCATAATTTAAAATATATATCAATGACACTCCACTTTTCTTTTAGCTAGAATGTACCAACATTACTAGCTGACTTAGAATATCAACTTGATTTTGTGAAAAAAGCTTGCAAAAAATATATCAACTTCAAAATGTACAGAAAAAGACATTAGAGAGCAGAAATTTTGGGGTTACTTAATGTATTTTAGAAAGAGTAGCAAGCTAGGAGCGAAGTACCCTATATTACAAATATTCAAACACCTAAGCCATACTGTATACACCTTTCTAGTGCAGTGAAGGGTTAGTTACAGAAAGGGTATTCTGAAAGCACATACAAAGAACTGCAGCTTTGTTTAACTTAAACTTGATCACGTAGGCGGGCCAGTCTCTGTGACAGCTCATCCTGCAGAATTGTAAAACACAAAGAAACCACCTGTCAGTAATATGAAAATTAACTTTTGCAAAGTTCTGCAATGGTGAAGCAATCTCATGTCCAGATGATATGAAATTATCTCATGTGCAAGTCTTAACAAGATCTGCTTAAGACCTCAAGAATGGCTGTACCAGGTGAGACCAGAGTCCATACAGCTATCTTATCTCCAGCAGTGGATACCTAGGAAGGAGTTCAAGAACACGGCAAGTAGAGATAGGGCGGGTTTGTTTTTTTCTTAATATATCATCTTTGCAAGTGCAAATTAGCTCTTACAGAACTGCATCCTTATTTGGGTGCAGCCTTGACTGACCAAGGCTGGTATCCAACTGAACTGCTATAGCAAGATAGCAGTAGGTCTAACTGTTTAGGTGGCCTAGTACAAGGTGAAACTGGACTTTTCAAAGAATGGGGAATACCTGGGGCTTCCCAAAGACTGGTCAGTTAAGATAAGGCTTCCTAAAGCCTTCTCTGCAAAGATGGGATGCCAGGAATAAACTGTACTTTTTCCATTCCCTCAAATATATTCCCCTAGAATGGAAAAAGCAACTCACCAAAAGATTTGTGCAACCTTGACATCAGGATCCACTTATACACAACAAATTCTAAGCCATTCATCTAGAGCAAATGTGGAATTCTTTGCACTAGTCCCGTAAGACCTTTCGTTAAAGGGAAGGAAAACAAGACCCCAAAGGCCTCGTGTATGCTACGGGAGATAGCTGGATTCATTAAATTTGGAGTAGGTAGGAGAGCCAACGGTTTGGAACTCCGTGAAATAACCATGCAAAAATACACTTCAAATAGCTAAACTTTCTGGATTTACCAAGCAGACGAATGTATTGTTAAAATTATTTTGATTGCAAGACTGTTTTAACTACACACTATTTCTTCTGGACAGCTTATATCTAATTACAATTTAGCAAGTCTGTTTTGACCGAGCGAAGCATTAATTCTCACACCACTTTTCTCTAGAAAACACTGATTTCAGTTGAATCTAATGTTTACCTGTTCTGCTGAGGCAACACTTGTACCAACAGAACCTGTCTGTCCTTGAGGTAGTTCCATGTTCAGATCAAGACTAATAGGAGAAAACAAAACAAAACCAAACCCAAGTCAGGCATACATGGCTAAAGGAAGAAGCATAATAATTGACAAGCAGGGGAATACTGAGGTAGCATGAGGCCACCAGCATCCCATGAATGCTGTACTCCAGCTAGTTAGACAACTTGATCAGTAAATTTGACTCGTTACCAGGATGACAAGTCATATATTATAATTAGCAATAGCTAAACAAATTCTGCTTAATCAGGACTGAGCAAGATTGCTGTTTAACAGAGGTATATCAGACATGGCATACGTATGAATGACAAAAAGTTCACTCATGAAAAAAAAGTTTTACTAAAAAATTTGTTAAAAGTATTTATCCTCAAGCCAACAGAGCGACGCTTCCAACTTATGCGTCACCAAGGCGGCAAGTAAAATGATCTGAAATAATTCAGTATATCCCCAAAGGCTTAAATATGTCATGACAACCTGTTTTGCAATGTCTAGCTTGTGAGAGCAGAAGTACAGGAAGTTTTAATGTGGTAAGAGAGAAAAAAAGGAAAAGCGTGCAGAAGCATGGCAAGGACTGCTAATGCTAAAGCCAACCCAAGTAAATAATAAAATGCTACCCTGACATGACAAGTGACATGATTTTAGGCTTGTGCACAACCATCCCTGCATCCTGACATTCACAGTAGCTTTGAGTGAAAACAGAATGAAATACTGGCAACTAAACTATTACAAGAATAATGTCCACAGGTGAAAGGAAAATGGCGATTCTGCTCTGCTTCCAAGAGACACACATATAAAACAAGGGTATCTGACCTTCAAGTTGACCAGGAAGGGTTATTGGAACCAAGATTTATTCAAGAAATAGTCACTCGAACTTTTACCTACCCTGCTTCATCTGCCATTTCCTGTAGAAGCATATCCACTTGGTTCTAGAGTAAAGAAAACAAAATTGATTGTTGCATGTTGTAGTTTCTGACAACCTTTTCTGTTAAATCTTGAGAGAACAGAAATTATTTTAACAAAACTGATTTAAAGGTAAATGGCTTTTACAGAACATTTTTGTGCTTAACCACCAGAGGGCCCTGTATGAACTCAAAAGTAACGAGTAGAGGTGCTCAGCCTGTTAAAATCCCATTAATCGAACTCTAGCTTCTGAAATAATGCTTCTGAAGAATTAAAACTTATCTGTAAAAAAAACCCAAACACATACTTGAATATTTCAAGTGTTGACTATTAGCTACTGAAACACTGCTTTGCACAACATGGGAAAAAGCCCATCTCCAAATGGATTTGGTTTATTGGATTTGGCTTTAGGTTGGTTTGTTTATTTTATTCACAAAGCACTATCTCCAGTAACTTTCTCCCTCTGACAAAACTTCTGTTGGAATAGCTCCTTGTGGAATAGCACAAGGGGATAGGTGCTAGGAATTCTTAACTATGTCAAGCACTGTTTAAAAGATTTATTTTAGTAAACATGCCCATAAATTGAAAGTAGGTAATTAACAACCTTCCATTCCATATACTACTACTATTTTGGTGGTGACTAATGTCTTTTTGTTAATATCAGTGAGTTAGAACTATTAATTTTCTCACAGCATATTCTGCTTTGATAATTAATGCTGCACTGTGTTCTGGTTCAGAAGTTCATTGAGAACTCATCAAAACGCTGCTTATTCAGTAAGAGGATTAAAGTTTTCAACATACAATATAAAATAAAGCCTGCTATAAGAGTGAAATAGACTAATATACATATACATGGATCCTCTCTGCTTGTGACTGTCATTTGAAAGTCTCTTCTTCACAAAGAAGCACAAAGGAAAAGTAAAAAGGCTTCAGTTGCTGCTATGTCTCAAAGTAGGCAGAAAGAAGAGAATCAGACATTTCCATGCAGTTTAGACACATAATTTAAGATCATCCTTTTTAAAAAAAAAAGTTCTATTCTTACTTGTGGTGTTGTTAGCGTAGTAGTGTTGCTCATTGTGTCTTCCATCTGTTGTGTCTGAACATCTAGTGTTTCAAACTGATGCTCAAATTTATCCATTAGTGCAGATATCTATAAAAAACAGTTGAATCAAATCAATGATCTGCAGATAATGGAACGAGAAATATATCTCAACTGGCAAAGGAAGAATCACACTACAAGGGCAAGCAGCTTCTGGAGATCAGATGCTCCCCTCCCAGCATCAACTCTGAAGTTGATCTAACACAGTTCAAGCACGTTGGTCAGGGCCCTGCCCAGGTTCCAGGATCTACCAACCTCACTGCAAAACCTTTTCTCTCGATTGGAATTTCCCTTTTTAAAACTTGTGTCCATTGCCCTTTCTGCTTTTTGGTGTGCAGCTCCAAGAAAAGTAAGTCTATTTACCTTTTCCAAGTTCATGCTCTTGAGCGTGGCATCCATAGACTTAACTACCCCTGCCATTGACTTCGTTACCTGAAATGAGGTAAAGGAAATTATTACAAAGAAAGAAAAATGAGCAGTTTCTTACCAAGCTCTCTTATGTCTATTCACAGAGTTTCTACAGTATCAAATAGTAGGGTACACACGATTGCCGTCTAGAACACCTTTTTTATAGCTCCTATCATTTAAAATTCTATAAATTAACTCAACCACTTGAAATATGCATTCTGAGCTGAAATTTGCTACGAACCGAGGTGTATATATAGCATTAACAGTTGTGGGTCTTGAGACCTGTCAAGTGTTAAGGGATATATTTGGCATACAGATCATGTGGCAGAATAAACTCTCTGGCTGAAGAGGAGTACAATAGCATACCTTAAAAAACTACCTGAGCTAAAAAAGATTTCTGGAATCACAAGTCCTACACCATGACTTTTTGCAAAGATACTGCTCCCCTTCAAAATACATAATAGTCTTAAGTGTAACCAGTAAAACACACTGTATCCTTACAAGCATGAGTAATAACAGCTCACAGAAGTTACTAGCTACAAAACATAGTGGATAGCAATCTACTTTTAAAGAGCAGCTGCCGGGGCGGGGGATTCCAGTACCTGATTTACTGTTGGCTACATCTGAAACCAAAGCTGAAACTTTTCAGCTCATTATAGATAGAATTAAGTCACTTATAAGAAAATGAGAGGTCTCATCCTTGCAACAGATTTGTGAAAACAGACTTACCTTGCCCATTGTCACTGCAGTCTGAACTCTTGCTGCTACAGCATCTACCCGGGCACTCATGCGCAAGAAATTGATGGCTTGATTCTTCTGGCGGATTGCATTTTCCGCATGTATTCGTGCGACTTCCATGTTACCCTTCTGAATTGCCTGTTGAAAAAAGAAAAGAAAAAAAAAAGGAAAAAGAAGAAGCATTTTAACCTTCCCTGCTCTTGTAAACATGATTTCTGAATAGCCTATTTCATTTTTGAAATAAGCATCAATTCATCACAATATCTTTTCTATTAAAAGATAAAATAAAACCCTCCCTCCTCCCCCAAAAGTTCCCAAACTTTTTCATGTTGTGAACGCCTAACTTCTTTCCAAGGAAGGTATCTAGCATGCACTTTGAGCAGAAGGTTTTACAGAGCTATAGAAACATACTTTTCTCATTCCTAAAAACATTTTCAGTATCAAGACTCCAAAAGATACAGTTGGTATGGTTGTATCTCATGGACAAAAATACAGTCAAATAAATTTAGTCTCTCTTTACTACTTCAAGGACTCAAAAACTATTTTCAAATTCCTCTTCATAAGTTCTTTTAATACAAGATGATAAACATTAAGATTAAATATTTTTAACTTTGAGAACAACAGTCTCTAACAAAATACATACAAGACAAGCTTCTCAGGAAGCAAATGCCACAAGCTGTACAAAAGGATACACAAGAACGTATCCTCACATTTAATAAGTATGGGAAGATTTACAGTCATGTATTTTAAATCACAAGCATCTATCACGGTATTATTAGCATGCATACCAGGAAAATGGCAAAACCACCACATATCTTCCTGCTACAATATGTAAACAACAGACCCAAAGAGCTTGTTTCAGAGCCACTGCTTACCTTCTTAATTTTAGCTTTCTCAGCCTTTTCTTCTTTGTCGCATTTTTTTGAGTTCCTGTTGAGTTCCTTTGCAGCAAACTTCAAATTAAACAGGTGTTCTGCAGCGCAAGTTAAGGGCTCAAGAACAGGATCTATCCTTTCATTGTAGTATTTTGCTCTCCTGTTTGAAGTGCTACCAAACCTAGCGTATACTGTGTCCCCATCAGTGGTGTTAAAACTTGGAAAATGTTATTTAAGTAAGCCCTTGAAATTCTCACAATAAGGAGACCTACTAAGCTGCTTCGCAATTATAATGCCACTTACAATCTGAGTTCTAAAATATAAGGCCATAAAAAGTAAGCGCAGATCCCAAACTGGCTCCATTTAACATCAAACCTACTTCAGACTGATTAACACAACAAACCAAACATCCCTGAAGAGGAATTGCAAGTCTTACTCTACCGCCTACTTTCACTTACACACCCAGAGTCCTCAACTCTCAGTGAAATGGAAGTGCAGTTTGCTGGCCTGCCTGGAACCTCCCCATCCAAAAATAAAAGCCACTGAGGAACAAGCCAAATTAACAGTGTAATAGCAAACTGGCTTGGCTGACCATGCCCAGGTACAAACCAGGAGGCAGGGCTGCCCTTTCAAACCACAGTATGATCTTGGGTTTAAATTGCTCATGCAGCTCCTTTACAGAGCAGCCTCCCAGCCCTGGGTCATTTGAGCAATTCTGGGGTCCCTGACAGCTCTGTCATCTGACTTTTGGGGAGAGAATACTTAAGTCAGCAAGAGAAACTTTTCTTTTTGTAAAGCTCAAGTCCTGCTTAAGCTGAAAGCTCGAAGAAGACAGTAGAACAAGCCTCCATAGTGACTTAGAATGATTGCATTAAACTGTTACTGACAAAGTATGTGCTGTAAAAATAACAATTAAAAACCCATGCTCTTAAAATACTGTTGATGAAAGCTTCCAAATAATAATATCAGTCTTTCTCAAACAAAATGGAAGTACCAAGCTTTTTAGGCTTCTTTCATGCCACCTTCTGATATCCCAAGAGGAAGATGCAGCAAGTACTAAGATGCTTAACAGTTAAGTGGAAGCACATAAAGCTAAACATTATAAGGTACTTGAGGCTTCTTTAATATTTCAAGTATATAAATTATTGCAGAACTGTTTGGGTTTGTTTTTTTTTCCTCTAAAGCCCAGCCATGCATCTTAGAGCTCTGACAGCAATCTGAAGACATTAGGAAGTCTGTTGATGCATTTGTTATCCTATCCTATAAACATCACAAGCAGGCTACAAAAAGGCAACAGCTGTGCCTATACACCTAGGACACCTAGTAAGGTAGCTACCAGTAACGCTAAAATTGCTGCTTGTGTTTACATTTCTTTGCTTTAAAGCCTAGGTCACCATCTCTTTCAGCAGCAGTAAGCGTACTGCACTGAGCCACAGATTAGGTAATTTACCAAACAGGAAAACACCTTTAAGTTGTTCATTGAACAGTACACTTCAGGTCAGAGACCAGACCAACCAGGTAAAACATGACATCACCTATTTACAGCCATTGCACTGAAACAGCACTTCAGAGCACTTTATTCTGAAATAAATTCCTCAGTTACTCACTTGGGGCATCTACCTTTGACATTACAATAGCTCGCCCTGCCACCTCCACAGCCCTCCCACCCCATGACGAGCACTTACTCGCTCCTCCCTTGAAATGCCTTTCTCAGTTGCCATAACCCGAGTGAAACCAGACTTCCACTATCAACCGTGACTCACAGTCACCTCCTCCAGCACTCCCACTGGTCCCTGCCATAACAACTGACAATGCCGAGCACTGCCAGCTCATTTAAACCACACCAAGACCTCTGTAATCTTTAAGGCTTTTTTAGCCCCAGTGCATTAGGATAGTTTTATACAGCAAGGAAGTTTAAATTTGCCCACAAGGGTTTTCCCCACATGCAACTTCTTTTCTACAGCAGGAAACAGCTGGGTTTGTTCAGCTGACAGCAGCTGCTGTTTGGGGGGACAGCTGACGAGTCAGCCTTGCTGACATCATTCCAGTCTGTACAGAGCTCTGGATGTACGGCATGTCAGACGTCCGCGGCGCACACTTTGCACTGCTCTACGCTGTAAATTGCTTTTTCTGCCCCAGGGGCTGGGCTGTCCCTCCGCGCACCACTGCCTTCCCCCCCCCAGCTAAGGTTAGCTGATCTCGCCTTGGAAAGTGAAACCGAATTTCCCATTTTCTTCTCCATCCACGCAGAGAGGACAACCCCCCGGTTTATGAAAGCACAGCTCCTGTCCCTGTCACGCCCATCACTCCCACCCTCCTCCTCCTCCCTCTGGAGCCAGGCCCCTGTCCCCCACCGACCCCCGCGGTCAGAGAAGGGACTCCCTTCCTCCTTCCCCCTCACCCCGGGCGGAGAGGCCTCGCATTCCACCCCCGCCCCAGAGCCACACCGGCTCTCACCTCGACCCGGCCCCCACCGAACGCAGGCCGGGCCGGGCCGGGCCCTCGCCCCCAGCCCAACCCAGGCCGCACCGCCTCACGGCAGGGCCACAAGGACGAGACCCGCGCCCCGAGGATACTCTCCATGTTGGACATGGCGGCGGCGGGCGGCTCCGCGGCGCTGGCTCCGGCCGAGCCCGGGGAGGGGACGGGGAACGGTGCGGCCGGCGCTCGCCCCCTCACCCGGTACTACCGCCACTTCCGGCTTCCGGCCACCCCGCCACGCTATACGCAGCCGCGCCGGGGCGGGGCGGGGCGTACGCGCGGCGCCCCCGCCGCCTTCCGGTCACGGGACCGGGGCGGGAGCGCGGTGGCGGTTGGCCGCCTCAGGGCGGGTTATGGCCGCCTCAGGCTGAGGGGCTGTGCTCTCCGCTTCTTTCCCTCTCCTTCCCTCAGCCGGCTCTGTCAGCTGGCACCGGGGAAGGGCCGGGCTGGGTTGTGCAGCCTCTGGGCCGGACGGGCGGGCCGCTTGCTTGGCGGGGGGGGGAGGCCCGGGGTCGGCCGCCTGAGGGGTGAGGTGGAAGAGCCCCTGTCAGCAGTAGGCCCAGCAGTGGAGAGCACAAACGCCGTGGGGTTGGAGGAAGACGGGTGGGAAAGCGGTAGGACGGTGGCGTGAGGGGTTTGCTTTGGCTGTGGCGGCTGTGCGGCCGCAGCCTGGAAGCGCCAGCAGGTAGAAGTGATTTCCTGCAGCAGCAGTCTTAGCTCTTGTCTGTCAATTTACAAAGAGAGTAAGAACAGTAAATTTTGCTTTGTAATATTTGAGGGCCACTTAGTGGGTATCTAGAGCAACTATAGGAACTCGAGCGAGTTACTAGTGCATTTCAGAGAGTGAGATGTTAGCAGTCATTAAGGAAACAAAGGATGTTAGTAACTTTTTGAGGACAGATACTGATATAAAAGGTTGTAGATCTGAGGTCGAGAGAACTGTTGTATAACTTTGAACTGGTTGCACGTGCATCTGCGTGATAATTCATACTATAGGAATGTCAGAGCGAGCGTGCTAAGCCACAGCAGTACCCACATCTGGCTGGCTGCTGGCAGGTGTCCGGAGAGCAGGGTAAGGACAGGGCAAGCAGAGGGTGACATTTCCCCGGGGGACTCTCCAAGCATCCAGAAATTGGTGATGTAGGTACCCCCTGCGCCACACGTTTCTGTGCCATCCTGAATGTGAGTTGTGTTCCCTGTTGAACTGCTGGAGATGTCATTTTATAAGCTCGTGACAGTCTGCTTTAATAAGTGGTTAAGTCCTCCAGCAAGTTAAATTATTTTCTCGAGTCACGTTGCTGAGTCACTCTGATATCTTGAGATGCAGGTTTGTTCCTGATGTATCTTTCAGGCAGAAGTTGTTACAGTAAGTGCTGTGCTGTCTAATTATTAAAAGATCGAGAGTCTGAACCAATAATTTTGAAAGAACTAAGGAGCTCTCTCATTTATTGTATTGTGTGTTAACAACAGCATAACATTATGTACAGACCTCTTCTAAGTCAAAGACCCCCACCCAAAGCCCTCCTCTCCAAAAAAGAAAGAACAAAATGACAGCAGTGTTCATCGTATCTAATAAACTGTTTGACACCCGGAAAAGAATGAAAAAATAAGATCTTCTGCCTTTGAATTTGCTGCAAGATAGAACATAATTATAGGAACAGAACTTCCAAAAATAAAGTTCACAAGCATATCGTTAGCTGAAGGGCTTTTTTCACCCTTCACATCACTTTAAGAGATTTCTAATTGCCTCCAGCTTTTAATTAAATAACTATTTTTAACAGGATGAAGTAAAATGAATACTTTTAGTAGGAAGTTATACATCCTAGTTAGATATAAAATACAGGTTGTATGTTTTAAGATGCAATTTTTTTTTCATTGCCTTCTTTCAATCAATAGGGCTAGAGTCTCACCTGCTGGCATTCCAAGCAATGTCAGCCATTTACAGCAACTGAGGAGTTGGGCTCTAATCTTTTATGATACTAAAAGACCTCTTGAGTCAATCATTTATTAACTTTCAGCTAAGCATAAAGCAAATCTCCGTGTCTGTCACTGTCCCAGAAGAACACTGGGGTAGTTAATAATCCTCTCGGTACCATTCCCAGAAGCAGAGCTGCCATCACTACTGTTTGACTCGCATCTCGTCTGGCAGTGGCAATTGGGAAAAAAATCAGCTGTCTGGTGATTGAAAGTGATACAGTCTTGACATCCCACATCTGAGAAGTGTCATAAGCTTAATTTCTGATAACATTTGACTTATTCAAAACTGACAGCTACTCAATCTAAAAGCTAAAAGTATTGTTACTCCTACTGAACATGTTCTGCTCCCTAAATTCAAACTCTTAACTTTTTCATGGTCAGACTTTGCTTGCTACAGAGTAAATGTAACAGTGGTTCTCAGAGTTAAACGCACGATATTTTAGAGGAGTATAGCTTGCAATTAGGCTTAGGCCAAGATCCTTTTCTCTCTTCAAGACCTGGTCTTCCATGGCAGGTTTTAGGTTTCATTCATCATTAAATTTAGATGAAATAAACTATCAGACTAGGGCTTTTTTTCTGTAACAAATCTTTCTAGCTAACATAACTAGATTAATCCTGCTAAAACCTGAAGAACATTCTTGCTGGTTTATTGACTGATTCACTTTGAGTGCAATTAGCCTTCAGAATAGGGAAGGGATGGCATTTTTCAAATGGAATGTATAAAACTCTATAGTGTACAAATAGTCCTTGTTACTGCAAAGTCATCTGTTTGTTACACAAATAGATATTAAGACTCTGATTTTTCTTCCAAAGTGAGTATAGTCTTTCAATGTCTTAAGGCTGGTATTTGGAAGCTGTTAGAAGCAGTGAAAATTGGACAATGCTAAGAAGGTTGCTCTTCACTGCTTCCATCGGAGGAGGCTTTCTTCAGATACCAGAATGCTTTGGAAAAAATGCTGATTTATTACTTCGTAGCTAGCTAGGCTTTCAAACATGAAATCATAGTTTTTTCTTCATGAGAATGAACTTATCTCTCAGTCCTAAACACGGCTATCTGTATTCTTCCTGAACAGGGTGTTCAGAAAAGGTATTGGAACAGGAAATTTAATCCTGCTTTATGATAATTCACGTCTGTATTTATTTATTAGGATCAATCTGTATGCCTTTTAAATTCTTGACATAGTGAATAAGATTTCTTAAATAAGCCTATGAGCATTATTTAGCTGTTGCTTTTTATGGGAAGACAGCAGGAATAAATTACTTCCTTCATTTTGTTACTTCTGAAAAGACCATATAAAAACATCTATAAATGAAAACCTTTCATTCCTGGAGTTGGGGCCAGAACATGAAGTTTGAGATTGGGTCGAGGAGTCCGGAGGACTTCCCTGACTTACTTTCGTACGTGATGGTGGGAGCTTCTGGGTGGGCAGCGGAGGAGTGATGGCCCCGCAGGCTGGGCACGGGCACAGCAGCGCTAGGAAAGGCAGCTAATTTGCTGCATTTTCAGTGTTGTGTTCTGCTGAAGCATCTCAGCCAAAGCCCTGCCAGTAAAGTGATGTATCTGAACTGACAGCTTCTTCATTTACCCCCACTGTGCAAAATTCATATATGAATAGCTTGTAGATACGGTAATAATGTAGGAGTACTTATAGCAAATGAACTGTAATAAGTGTGGCAGAAGACACTTCTGAGCAAAGCTAGTAACAGTAATTATTCTAGCTTGTGTCTCGGGAGTCTGAATTCATAATGTCAAAGATTGCTGAATCCTGACTGTAAAAGCTTTAAATACCTACCGGTGACAGACATGCGGTGACTAGCAGCTGCACTGCTCTTGTGTTTTTAATGGGAGAGGTCTATGTAAAGTACCTTTTCAGGAGATGGGAAAAGATGCAATTATGGTGTATGACTTTCAGGATCTCATCCACTTTGGTAGATAAGTCTCAGTATCACTAGTTCACAGAAGCAGGTATTATTGTCTATGGTTTTAAAACGAAATCTGTGAAGAGATGTAGCAGAGATTTAACATATTTAGTAGAGACCCAACTGTGAGCAGACTGCTCCTGCATGAACAGTCCTACTGAAATCAACCTCCTAGAAGCTTGCACAATAATTCTCATGAGTAATAGTTACTTAAATGAATAAGGTTTTCCAGGGTCAGAAACAGACACTAGATCATTGAATATCCACATTTTTTTCTATAATATTACTGGAACTCATTAATTAGGATGTGATTTGGAGGTGGCAGCAACATTAGATAGAACTATTAGAGTGATTATCTCCTTTGAAAAAAAAAAGATTAATTTCAGTGATGTCAAGAGAAGTAAAACTGACCTAATTATCCACAACAATGTTAGAGAACAAAGCAGCAAAAACTGCTCAGAAATAGGAGCATATAATGCTTTACCTCAATCAAACCTGAAAAAATATAAATCAGATTCACACAGCTGACACAGGAGGGAGCCAACTAGGCTACAACCCCTTCAGTGCTGCTCAGGACATAAAGCTAACAGAGCCAAATTCCAACTGAAATCCCTCTTCCCTTTCAACTGCTGAAAAAATACCCTTCTGGTGATGGGCTCCTCTCTGTCTTTCCCATTTTCTCGAGAATACAAACCTGCAAAGCTGAGCAGTTACAAACAAATGCATGGCAACTGCTTTCCTCCCTTTTCTCTTACGTCATTCACAGCAGCAGACATAACTTGGACACTGTTTCATATCCTTCGTCTAACATCCTGCATGGGCATTAGAAGGAAAAAAAAGGCAGGAGGGAGAGGACTTTATGGATGCCCCCAAGAAATCAGTCTGTTTGCCTCTGACTTCACTGCTAGCTTCCCCTATTAAAGAGCCAGAGGAAATTTAGAAAGATACAATCAAGCTGTGAAATCCTTGCAGGTTGAAAAACGTGTTAGTACCATGACATCACCAATAGAGAAGATGTTCTTTAAAAGCTGGGTGTTAGTGCAAGTGAAACTTAACATCACAAAGTTCAGAGGGCTGGTCAGTTGAACAGTTTGAAGAATAAGCTTAACCAGGTATAACACCTATGAAAAATGGCAAATTATTGCTTTCTAATTTTAAAGTAGTAAATGTCTAGAGAAAGTAGCCTATTTTTTTTTTTGACTCACACTATCATTTATTCATTTTTTTGGAGAAAAAACTTTAAATGGCTGGAAGATTGTAAATGAAATATTGCCAATGAAGCTCAATCATTGCCATGGCAACATTGTGGTTGCAGTTGTGTCAC